TTAAAAAAAGTATAATTTGCAAAATACCCTCATAAGTTGAGATGTATGCCAAAATGCACCTGAAAGATGTGGGTACAGCGGAATGCCCTTTTGAGCCGAAATCTTTGTGTTGTGCCCCTGTCAGGCGGGTGTGCAACTTGCAATCTAGACCTTCCCGTTTGGGCCTTGTCCTTTTGCAATAGCGCCTAGGAAAGTTGGCAAGCACTGGGGCATTTTGCAAAGTTGGACGGTCCCCGGTAGGGGTATATTGCAAAGGTGGGGGTCCAACCGACGCCTGGGGTATTTCACAAAAAATAAAAAATGTCAGGGGGGCATTCCGCTCTACTCACATCTTTTAGGGGCATTTTGGCATATATCTCAACTTATGGGGGTATTTTGTAAATTATCCCTCAAAAACAACAAGAAAAAAGAAAGAAAACGTTGTTTTTTTTTTTATTAAATAAAGGGCTAATGCCCAACCAATTCCATTACCTGTAGAATCTAGACAGGACGGCCTTTCAGGCCTTTTTTATTGTCATTATAGTATTACGGGGAACCCCGTAGCAACCACATCCGTGCTCAAGCCTCCAACGAGGGAACATGCGGGAGCCGCATCCACCAGCAGGTACGATACCTGCTACAGCAGGTGGGCGATACCGGCCAGGGGTCAGCCGGTAGCATCAGGACCGAGCTTCTTCGATGGGCCAGTCACTGTGCCTCCCCTCCGGTCCCCTGCCCCTGTGAGCTCAGCAGTCTCTGCTCAATGCCACTCGGGGGGACCAACGGCATATCCCTACGTGGCGGGGGCCAAGCTTGCCCAGGAAGGTACACGAGGCCAATGGGGATTAAACCCAAGACCTCCTGAATGCCACTTGCGTGCCTTACCAACAGAGGTACAGTAGGCCGCTGGATAAGAAAACGCTGTCACAGTGCCTTGCAGCTCTGTTGCACTTGCATGAATCATCCAAAGATCCTGCAGCTGTCTCTAGCGGCCGGATCCTTTTGTACTGTGTCTCTTCGAGTGACGGCCTTGCGTACCAGTGGGCCTCTGTACATGCATTCATGTACATGCATTTCTATTCCTTGTTGCCCGGATACATTCACAACGTTGGAATCGTCCGAATGCACCTTGTCCCTTCAGGGCCCAAATGCATGTACAGTGTTGCGTAATGGAGCGAGGCCCATTCAAGCGGGGCGTCTTTTTTTTTTTTTTTTTTGGCGTTTCGGTCTTTTTCATTCCGTTTGCGGCCAGTTTGTTTTTTCCGTTCTTTTCTGGCACTTTGGGAATTCCGCTAGTTTGGGCCTCTCTCCACTACTCACCAAATGATCAAGCAATCTAGAGGCCTAGCTCAGTTGGTAAGGCACACAAGTGGCATTCAGGAGGTCCTGGGTTCAATCCCGATTGGCCTCATGTGCTTCCTGGGAAAGCTTGGCACCCGCCACCTAGAGATATGCCTGAAAGGCCGTCCTGTCCAGATTCGACAGGTAATTGAATTGGTTGGGCTTAAAGAATTAGCCTTTCAGAAAAAAAATAAAATGATCAAGCATAGAATGGATCTTCTGCTAGAGCATGGGAAGATACACAGCCAGTTTTTTTTTGTCTTTGCCCATGTCGAGTGCAGTGGATTGAGGCCCTTTCTTTTTTTTTCTTTTTTTTTGAAGCTATATTCTTCTCTCAATTTCACCTCACACTACCTACCTACCACTACTCCTAATTGTAGGAACACAGGGACCCCCGTAGCAGCCAGAACCGTGTTCACGAGAGAACATGCGGGGGCCTGTGTGCTGAATGGTAAACGAACTGGCTGTGATGCCCTTAGCTGTTCTGGGCCGCACGSGCGCTACACGGATGAATCCATTGTGACGGTGATAGGGCCTCTTTAGACACTCCCCGGGGATGCGAAATCCACAAGGACGCGCTCGTTCCACCTGTCCTCGGGGATGGAAACGGAAAAAAAAAGTGAAAACACCACAAGGAAAATTCTTTGTGGCATCCTTGTGGCCCCAGCCAAATTTTCCTTATCTCCAAGAGACCTCGCGAGGTCCCTTGGAGCTCAAGGACGCGTGATTTCCGGAGCGGCAAAGACATGCGTCGACGGAGGCCTTTGGTTTTTTGGTGGTCCAGACGTGGTCCGACGCCGTGAGGTCGGACATCCCCGGCCGCCAACGTCGGCGGCCTCCAACGGTTACCGTTGGTGTTCGGGCTCTTCCTGGGTGGGGTCGTCGTCTTCGGCCGGCCTCAAGCGGCCTCCCGCGCTGGAGAAGCGTCGGCAACGGTCGGGAAATTTCAACATTTTTCCCAGCGGCGCCTGGCCATCATGCTCCTTCTTCTGGACGGACGCAGCTACTGCCCTGACGTGGTTTTGCATCTCCTGTCACCGCCTGCTGCACAAATGACAACAGTCCTGCCTTCGCTGCCCTCAGTGTTGTCGCTCGCTGGACGTCCGACAACAGACATGGCATTGTTGCCATCTCTGCCGTGTCGTTCATGGCCGACCTGTGCCGAAGGCTCCCTCTGCTGCTCCTCCTCGCTGTGCTGCTTCTGGTTGTCCTCTTGTTCCACGTGTGTTTCCTGGGGCGGTTGCCCGGAGCTACACGCAAGAGGCAGTCGTCGAGGAAGGGTGACGGGATGGACCAACGTGTGACGAAGAGCACACCGACAAGCACGGCAGAAGGGTCATCGACCCGTCGGCGCATTGCAGGTAGTGCAAACAGGCAGCCGTACGATTCATCATGATTATTCTCTCATCTGCCTTCGCAGAAGATTCCTTTGCCGCCAACGGACGACGAGCAGGACGATGACGTTGGTCGGTCATCGAGTCTGCCTATGGGGAGCGGATCAATGCAATATTGGGCTGGTAGCGAGTTCTTCGGTACACCGGCGGTGGAAGCGGCACCGTGGTCATACACGTCGCTGTTGGAGGGCGGGTTGGACGACCGCCACGCAGATGTTGCGGTTGATTTTACGTTCGGCCTGTCCAGCGGGAGCGGGGCGGCGACGACACACACGCGCATCGTCAATCCCCACCCTGGCGGGGATTGCGCAGAAGAAACGTCTGCGGGCGTACTTGGGGTGGTGGACGGTCCGGCGGTGGTGAGATTACGCACCACATTCTTCGATGAGTGGGGAAGTGTGCGGCGTGGACGCCCGTCTTGAATGGATATGATCATCGTTTGCAGCGGGTAGTGGCGCAGGGACTCCATGTGAACGACGGCAATCGGATGACACGCAGCCGCCAGGCAACCCCGTGGAACGCACCGGTCGGCAGGTGTGGGCGGAGCAACGGCAGCAGCTTCGTCAAGCTAGAGCTTAGGCCATAACGAAGGAGGTGGAACGCCTCCACGTCGACGACAACAACGATGGCGGCGACGTGCCAGTGGCGGGCGATAATGACTGCGATGACGTCGAGCCCGAAGATGATTATCACTCGAAGGAGTTGCCGGAGATTCGACCCGTGGGGAGGAAGGGTATGGCCAGTCGCGGGGACGGTAGGAAGGGTTCTGTGCACAGGGGGCGACGAGGTAAGAAGGACACAGTTGCTCTCGTTCGGGCGAGACGGGATCAAGATCTATATTTCGCGGGTATAGGGCACAACTTCTGATGCATGAAGAGCAGGGACTGGAAGTGGGCCGACATCGAGACCAGGTTGAAGAAGATGGGCGTGGATAGGAAGGCCATCAACTGCGGAAAGAAATGGGACAACTTGATGCAACACTTCAAAAAGGAAGCAAGTTCCAGGGCTTGTCAGGGGGGAAGGACTACTTCAAGCTAACGCCAGGGGAGAGGAGGTCGGAGGGCTTCAATTTTGTCCTGGATCGGAGCGTGTACGAGGAGATGGGCGCGATGACGAAGGGGGATCACACCATCTATCTGAAGAATGTCGCGGACACTGGAGCGGCGGGCGGGGTCCACATGCCTGCGAGGCCTGCAACAGGAGCCGAATCCATCGCCAGGAAGGGTGGTGGAGAAGCGCAGGATGACGAACAAGGATCGACGAAGGATTCCACATTCAGCAACGGGAGCGGGGGGGGGTCCGGGAAGAGGAAAAACATGCAGCAACAGACCTTCGAAGTCATTCCCGATGTTATGGACAAACACGGAACCCTCATGGCGACCACCATGGATAGCGCCAACAAGGGACAGTGCTCCATGATGTTGTGGCAGTGCGAGATCCTGGAGACCGAAGTGGACGTGCAGAGGAGGCATTATGAACAAGATGAGGTGCAACACCCTCCTCGAGATAGCAAAAGCCATCCGTGATAGATCATGACGTCCTCTGTGTCGTTTCGTGCGTACTGTTGTCCAGGACAAGGTGGTTGCAGACGTCGTGTTTTCTCTGTTCGTCTTCATGGGCTGTTTGGAACTGGCCAGTTGATGACGTCCCTCTTGGCTATTTAGGCAGCAGGTCGTCCCAAGAGCTTTGTGGAATTAAGATTTTTTTTATTTTATTTTTTTTAATATGAACTTCAAGATGATCTTTCGTAATGGCGGTGCGCATGGAGGGACGGGTACATTTTTTATGAAAACGGCGATGTTGCGCCCACGTTTTTTTATGAAGTCATTGTCTCTCTCTCTCTCTCTCTCTCTCTCTCTCTCTCTCTCTCTCTCTCTCTCTCTCTCTCTCTCTCTCTCTCTCCCCCCCCCCACAATTGTGCACCTTCGCAGATGCCCTGTGTTTTTGGAATGTTTTATGCCTGAATGCTGCTCAACTTGGATGTTCGGAGTGCCGCTGGAATTTATGAGAGTGCAAGAAGGCGGAGAAGTTGTTTTTTTTTTTGTAAACAAAAGGTACCTTAAACCACTAGTACCTCCGAGCCTGTTTTTGCCGACCCTGAATTTCACTGCACTCCGAGTTCTACCGAGCCTGGGTCTCACTCCATTTTCTTTATGGTTCTTTCACAGGAAAAAAAAAAAAAAAAAAGTTGCGGTCGTGAAACACACAAAACAAGAAAATTAAAAAAAGGAAACAAAGCTCTGGTCGTGATTGCAGTTGTATACATTCTTGGAAGTGGTAGTGTGAGTGTGCCCTCAGCGAGGGCATTTAAGCCCCGTGGCCAGATTGTCAGACTCCATAAACACAAAACAAGATTAAAAAAAAATGGAAACACGGATTCTGCCGTGAAAATGGCTGGATACATTTCTCTAAGTGCCAGTGTGATCAGGGTAACAATCCTATGAGGAAACACAACTTGAGCAGATCACGGATTCAGATTGTCAGATTCCAGAAACACAAAAAAAGAAAAAAAAAATAGAAACACGGATTCAGCCATTGAAATGGCTGGATACATTCCTCTAAGTGCCAGTGTGATCAGGGTTACAATCCTCTGAGGAAACACAGCTTGAGCAGATCACGGATTCCGCCCTGCCTCGTTGGCAGGGGACTCATAACAAACACACGGGAAAGAAAGAAAAGAAAAACAACAACTTTCAGAATGTGACCGTGTTTGCTGTAAGATGCATTCTGTAGAGGAAGACTGTGAGCACGGCCTCCTAGACTACCCTGCCCGACATGATTGCAATACAAAAAGCATTTTTGTTTTTCCCTTTTCCTTTCACGCGGGGGCAAAAGAAAACTAAGATTAATAGGACTTGCCGACCCTAGGTCCCACCCCCAAATTCTTCGGGAACAGGCTAAAACTCGTAATTTCCCAACAGTGGCAGAGGTACTACCGGTAGTGGTTTAAACAGAACAAAACAGAAAAGAGAAAAAAAAAAAAATTGGACACGGCCAGTGTGGGTTGTTGGCGGATCGGCTTGTTTTTTCTTCTCCGTGCAGTGGCCAAGTCCCACCCACTAGCAGCATTGAGTTCCCTCAACGCCTGAATCTGGACGTGCTGGTGGAGATGTGCGGTTGAGGAATCTCTACGCCATTTCAGGCCATCTCCACAACCGCGACGAGATTCAGGCGTCGGAGAAAGTCAACACTGCTAATGGGACCTGGCCCCAGGAGTATTAAGAGAACTAAAATGCATGTGTCGAACGTCTGTCGCCATTGTCCGCGTCGTTGCTGGAACGTCACCTGAAGCTCTGCTACACACACACACACACACACACACACACACACACACACACACACACACACACACACACACACACACACACACACA